CGTGTCCTTTGCAACCTGATCACAGAGATGATGAAAATGAATAGAACTTACACATCTGAATAATGTCTTCAGTTTACTTACATATTCTAGGATGTAAATTTGGTTAAATGAGTTTGTCCAATTGGCTTGTTGATGAAAAAAATGAGGCTAGAATTTAACCCTTCAAAAGAAGCCAGCTATAAAAGTGAAGAATTTTCATAATTTGTAAATTTGAATTGCATACTTGAATTTACGTCATATCCTCCTTCTTTTATCTGTTAAGCTTCTTCCTAAAAATCAACATTACCTGATGTTCTAATTACTAACCTATTGTCTTTGCTTAGATTTTTGTACTGATGCCATTTTATGGGCGTTGATTATGGAAACAGTGCCATATGGTTATGGCATCTTTGCTTTAAAAATTTGACTTAGTCTTTTTTACATTAAAAAATTCAATATTAAAAAAAAGATAGATTTCCTGTGTAGCCCTGACTGTCCTGGAGCTCAGCTCTACAGTCCAGGCTAACCTTGAACTCGCAAAGGTCCATCTACCTTTACTTCCTAAGTGATGGTGTTAAAGGAATGAACCACACATTGCCCCAGGCATATGTTAAACTTTCACCACCAAAATTAATAGTATTAAGAAGAAAGCATTAAGATGTTGATTACAACATAAAGGTAGATCCTCTTGAAGAGAGAGAGAGAAAGAGAAAGAGAGACAGACAGAGAGAGACAGAGACAGAGGGATTCCTGAGACATCCTTGGCCACCAGAACTGTAATAAACATTTTTCATTTGTAATAATTAGGGTTATTCTGTGAAAGCAGCCCAAATGGACTAAGTAAGAAAAATTCACACAAATTATCTTCATTCTTCATTGATTTTATGACAGCAATAGAATTCATAGTGATTCAGTCAATTTGAGTGTAGTTACATAAAGAACACATGTGAAGATACACCTGAGAGTGTGAAAGATGATTCTCTCATCCTTTACTGCTATCTTCTGAAGTTGTTTCATTGCCTTTAAGGGAAGAATAAGAATAATCCATAAAATGTGCACCAGTAGAAAACAACCAAGTTTTATGATAGTAAATCTTCCAATTGACCAGCTAAGTATTAGTTTCAAATAGAATTAAACTTGGTTATGTACAAAGTAAAACCCAAAGCAGCACTGGTGAGAAAAACATAGTTTATTGTCTATCACATTAAGACAACAGATAATAGATGGTCTACAGCTGGTTGGGCAACTCTATGGTCATCAGGCTCAAGTCTTTTCATTGTTCCTCTTTTTCATTTCAATTAGGAGCTGCCATCTTCAGTGTCATCCACGGCTAAGGTTAGCTCTGGAGCCTCCAGGCACCACATCAGTACTGCAATTTCACAGATAAGTGCTAAAGCAAAAGAAAATCCTTCCTTTTCTTTAGATGCCTGCCCTAAAAATATCATACATCTCATTTGCCAGAGCAAATGATCAGAGTCAGATGCAAGGTAAATTGAAATAGGCTACTATTTACACCTATCTTTGCAAAATTGGAGAAATGTTATTGAGCAATATATGAGTTACTTTATGCCACAAATGTGATGCATGATAAGCAAGCAGGAAATGTGTGACAATGACTGTTCTGTCAGGAAACATCATAGGACAAGCTAATAACTAGCAGGTGATCTTCCTGAGATGAGTCTGCTTTGGATTAATAAATAATCCATGACAGACTTGCTTCTATAGGCAGGGCCCAGGAGAAATCAGTATAGGAAAGATTACTGTTATTAATATGATTTTCCTGCTATCATTAAACATACATAACAATCAGTAGGTATTAGCCCACCCTTTTGAGAAGATCTCTCTAGAACAATGAAGATGTACTGTTTTGTAGTGATGCTGAATAAACAAATAGATGACTTATTAATTCTTAATGATGATCTTATAAGAATTCCTAAAATTATATCAGTATTTATTAAGCTCTTTCATAGTAGTACTGCTATTAGGTTCTTTCTGAAAAGAAACTGCAATGAGGACTTAGCCTGTCTCACACAGATTACCATGTAATTGCTGCTAGATAATAACCAAACAATCTACTACTCAGAACACATTCCAAGAGGTTGTAAAACCATTAACCAAAGGTCATAGAAAGGGAACTGATGGTTTATTATAGGAGCTAGGGCAGAAGATAAGATATTGGTGGATTTATCTATACAAACTTTACTAGTAACATACTTATGGTTTTTAACTCTCCATGAACCTGTGGAGCTGTGGAAGGTGATGAATGTTTAGCCAGATAATTATGCCTGATGGATACACATGTAAACATTCTCTGTTGTAAACTTCTTATTTGATTTATGATTTGAATTTATGTGTAAACTTGTGATGAACTTTTTACCGTGTGATCATGAATTCTGAAAGGTGTATAAGTGCTGAGGACAAAGAGAGGTATATGAATTTTTCCTTGTCCTGCCTAGGATCATTCTGCTTTCCCCCTTTTTCTTAGAGAGCATCCGTAGGTAACTTTTTAGTGTTTAGAAATAAACACTAAATTCACTTTTCAAAGTGTCCCTTCATCTACCTGCAACTTCAACTAGAAGGCTGAAAGTTAGACCCTTGCAATTCCTGCAGAAATAGAACAAAGGCCACATTATTAATTCCCCAGCTGTTAGGCTACAGGTGTTAATCTCCTAAACTGGCAGCTTGTTTGGGGTGTGTGAGGGGGTAGGAAGTAAACAGTTACATTTGTTTTTGCTGTCAAAACTGCATTATTCAAGTGCACTGAAGGTAAAAAATATATATTATCGGGAGTAAAAAGTCATCATTGCTTTTCACCTTTCTTCTGTTCCTCTGACATATTTTTACACAATGATTTTTGGAGGATGTAAATAAAAACATAAAAAAGACATAGGCATACAAAATTGGGTGCAAATGTTTAGATTTTAGAGAAGCTAAGAATTAAATGGTTCATTATGTGTTATTTTAAATTTTAACTCAAGTTATAAATTTGTTTACTATATTAAAAATTAATCCATCATTTAAAAAGAAATAGTGGAAATGAGTCATGAGAATTATATTTTTTGGATTGAGTTTCTGTAACTTAGTCCTATCATATCTTCTTGGTATGAATGAGCAAGTGTTAATTTTAATTTAGCTTAATTTTAACTTTAACTTAAAGTCTTAACTTTCAAGGTCTTCACTAGAAAATAAATAACACAACGGGTATAGTATATGCTTTTTATAATATGATGTATGTAAATGTTCATAGCAGCCTTATTTTCCATGGTGAGAAGCTGGAAACAACCCAGATGTCCCACAACAGAAGAATGGATACAGAAAATGTGGTTCATTTACACAATGGAATACTACTCAACTATTAAGAATTAGAACATCATGAGTTTTACCGCCAAATGAATGGAACTCGAAAATATCATTTTGAGTGAGATAAATCAGACACAAAAGCACAGGCATGCTATGAACTCACTAATAAGTGGGCATTAGCCAAAAAAAAAAAGCACAGAATACCAAGGATATAATCTACAGAACTCAAGAAGGTTAACAAGCTGAAGGACCCAAGTGAGGATGCCTCAATCCCACTTGGGAGAAAGAAGAAAGCAATCATGGTAGGCAGAAGGAGGAAGGGACCTGAGTAGGAGAAGGGAGAGGGGGGAGAAGAGGGGAACATGACCAGGTACTGGGCAGCAGGGGAAGCAGGACCAGGGACCAGGGACAAGGACACTGAGGGCCAGCAGAAAAAATGGAAACAGGTAACCTCAGGAGATAGGAGTTGGGGGACGCTATAGAAAGTTCTAGACAACTGGGAGGTAACAGACTCTCAGGACTCAAAGGGAGGGACCTTAGATAAAGTCAACAGCTTTTAACCCTCAGAATGGTCAGAAAAGTTTCTAGGACTTTTTAGAAGTTATCATCAGTATTCAGTATAGTTAGAAAGCTAGAACATCCAGAGACCATCAGCCTTTAAAGCCACACCAGAGTCCTACTCTGTCTCATTTCAACACACTGCAAGCCAGGAGGCTCCCAACACTGTTCACTTGACAAGGATCAGCACAAGCTCTTGTCTGATGACCTTGATTGAGCTTGCTCAAGTGTCTAAGGAAAAGCCGACTAGTGTGGTCATATGACAAAGTACTAGTCAGTTGAATCTGAGCAGATATGTTTCCTACTCCAGGCCTGGTCCATATGTATCCCACATATAATCCTCTACTCTCCCTAGTCACCATCTGAAAAGAAACTACTCTGAGAACAGGGTCATAGAATAAAAGAATAGATGATAGCAACACACTTTTATCCATTTCTCTGGAACCATCCACTACATTACAGTATGACATGAGCTGAATTAATCTTTTAATTACCACCAGCAGCTACCATCCTGGTATCTTCTAGTATTCAGCACTCATTTTCTCAATAAACTTTTACTAAAAATAAAATAGCCCAAATCACTTTACCTAAGATATAATTCTTTTAACTAAAAACATACTCTTATTATAGGAATACTATGTATATCCAGTGAAGACAAGGTCTAAGTTTACAGTTGTTACAGTTCACCAGTGTCTTACCCTTACCCTCACTGATTTCATCCCACCCCCTATAAAGCAGGATGCAGACTGTAAAGGGAATTTGGACACTAGGACTTTACACATAAGGGAGTCTCAGTGTTATCCCCATGATACAGACATTTCCTTCTCTGGGATAAAACTTTTAACTTGTCCTAAAGTGCAGAGATACTGATTGTTTGAAAATGGATCTTAGTTGTGTATTCAATGATTAATACAAAAGGCAACTGTCATATTACTTGCTGGCAAGCAAGCAAGGAAAGAAGGCCAGCAGCTTGTGGCTGACTTGAATATATTGCTTGTCATGGTACTGACAATGCAACTTTTATGATCATGTACAGTGAACTTGGGAACAAGAAGTTTATGGAGGTCACTCCTGGGAGACTTAGGTGGAAAAAAAACCCACCCAGCACTCTTCTTCTTCTTTTCCTAAGCCATTTTCTTCTTTGGCCTGAGAAATGGGGAATGGAAAAAGTAGATGGGTCGCTCACAGCTTATCTGATGGTAAGCACTAAGCTTTTGCCTATATGGTCATACTGTACAATTGCCAACTGTAGAATGAATTCTTACAAACATGAAGACAGCAGGGACAGGTAATCTGGATTTCAAAGACAAAGTTCATTTCAAATGGCTGTTTTCTTGTATTGTGTCCTCAGAATAATGGACTTCCAGAAATATGGATATTCATGTTCTAGAAATACACAAAAACAAAAAAATTACATATGTAACAATTAAGCCAGAATAAACAGAAACACACAGAAGTCAATAAACTTGTAAACAAACACTTATAATGTTTGTGCAATTCATTTCTGCTACAGAATCCTCAAGGATGGGGCCAGGGTAGGTAGGTCCCTCCTACTGTACTGTAGCAAGGCAGAACCTCTCACCAGAGCTGTGAGCACCTGTGCCTGGTCTCTGTTGTTCACAAAGGCTTGCTGCAGAAGACTGAGGGAACACCCATGGTAGGATCACTCGACATATTTTCCCAGTCCACTCTGAACTCAAACTAATAAGAATGTTGTCTTTCTAATGAGTTTTAACATTATAGTTTTCAGTCCTACCTGGTATAATTTCTCTTCTGGAAGAAAGCAAATCCTACAATGAGAAGAAGAATCCCCAAAAGGACCATTTTCACGTAGAGAATGGTCAGTAAGGAAGGTGCGGTGCTGGTGGTATCTTTAAATACAAGCAAAGGTAAAATTTCATGTCAGTTCAATAGTTCTAAGCAAGAAATTAAAGGCAAATAGCTTTAAAAATCTTTAACATAGTTCTAAAGTTTTAGAGAATATTAAAATCAGAAACCGTTATGAAGTATAATTCAGATACACCTCATACCATTATTTCAGGATCAAGTTTAGGAATCAAGTCCAGACATTGTGCTTGATAGGCATTAGCAATTTTTTTTTTTTTTTTTGGTTTTTGGTTTTTGGAGACAGGGTTTCTCTGTGTAGCCCTGGCTGTTCTGGAACTCACTCTGTACACCAGGCTGGCCTCGAACTCAGAAAGCTGCCTGCCTCTGCCTCCCAAGTGCTGGGATTAAAGACATGTGCCACCACTGCTCGGCTGCAAATATTTTAAAGTCAAGAAATACACACTAGGAGCACGTTCGTTATCTTATTCCCTTCTGCTCTTTGGTGCTGCCGAGGAAGCATTGCTGAAGGCTCTCATCATCCTGCTGTCATGTCTAAGTCAAAGTCTCCCAAGGAGCCAGAACAGCTTCGGAAGCTCTTCATCAGAGGTCTGAGCTTCGATAAGCCCGATGAAAGTCTGAGGAGTCATTTTGAGCAATGGGGAACACTAACCGACTGTGTGGTAATGAGAGATCCTAACACCAAGAGATCCAGGGGCTTTGGGTTTGTCACCTACGCCACTATGGAGGAAGTGGATGCTGCCATGAATGCAAGACCACACAAGGTGGATGGAAGAGTCATGGAACCTAAGAGGGCTGTGTCAAGAGAAGATTCTCAGACACCAGGTGCCCACTTAACTGTGAAAAAGTTCTTTGTTGGTGGTATTAAAGAAGACACTGAAGAACATCACCTATGAGATTATTTTGAGCAGTATGAGAAAACTGAAGTGATAGAAATTATGACAGACAGAAGCAGTGGAAAAAAGAGAGGCTTTGCTTTTGTCACCTTTGATGACCATGACTCTGTGGAGAAGATTGTTATTCAGAAATGCCATACTGTGAATGACCACAACTGTGAAGTAAGAAAGGCAAAGCAAGAGATGACTAGTGCTTCATCCAACCAGAGAGGTCCAAGTGGTTCAGGAAACTTTGGTGGTGGTCGTAAAGGCAGTTTTGGTGGCAATGACAGTTTTGGTGGAGGAGGGAACTTCAGTGGTTGTGGTGGCTTTGCTGGCACCTCTAGTGGTGGTGGATATGGTGGCAGTGGGGATGGCTATAATGGATTTGGCAATGACAGTGGTTATGGAGGAGGTGGCCCTGGTTACTCTGGAGGAAGCAGAGGCTATGGTAGACAGGGTTATGGAAACCAGGGCAGTGGCTATGGCGGGAGTGGCAGCTATTACAGCTATAACAACGGAGGAGGCAGAGGCAGCTTTGGCGGTGGTAGTGGAAGCAATTTTGGAGGTGGTGGAAACTACAATGATTTTGGCAATTACAACAATCAGTCTTCAAATTTTGGACCGATGAAGGGAAGGAACTTTGGAGGCAGGAGCTCTGGCCCTTATGGTGGTGGAGTCCAGTACTTTGCTAAACCACAAAACCAAGGTGGCTATGGAGGGTCCAGCAGCAGCAGCAGTAGCTATGGCAGTGGCAGGAGGTTCTAATTACAGCCAAGAAACAAAGCTTAGCAGGTAAGGAGAGCCAGAGAAGTGACAGGGAAGCTACAGATTACAACAGATTTGTGAACTCAGCCAAGCACAGTGCTACAGGGCCTAGCTGCTACAAAGAAGACATATTTTAGACAATACTCATGTGTGTGGGCAAAAACCTTAGAACTGTATTTGTGACTAATTGTATAACAGGTTATTTTAGTTTCTGTTCTGTGGAAAGTATAAAGCATTCCAACAAAAGGTTTTACTGTAGACCTTTTTCACCCATGCTGTTGATTGCTAAATGTCTCATCATGACACTGAATAAATGTGTCTTTTTTTTTTAATGTGCTGCATAAAGTTAGTCTACTCTTGAAGACATCTTGGTAACTTCTCAAACAGTGTCAAGTTAGAATTCCTTCAGGGTGATGCAAAGTTCCATTTGGAATTTATTTGTGGTTACTTGGGTGGAGAAGCCATTGTCTTCAAAAATCCTGGTGTTGTTAAACTGCCAGTTACTGTTGTAACTTTTAATGAGTTTCACCATTGAAAGGGTCATCCAAGGAAGGTCACAATTGGATTATAAAATGGTTGTTGGCACAACCTATGCAATATTAAAATTGAATAATGGTATCAGATAAAATAACAGATGGGAATGAAGCTTGTGTATCAACCATGATCATGTGTACTCAATAAATCATTTAATTCTCTTGAAAAAAAAAAGAAACATAGAGTTAAGTAGGGAAAATGGGCAAAATTTCCCACACAAATTTTATTTTATTTTATTTTTATGAAAATATAATTACATCATTTCATCCATTACACTTTCTTCCTCCACCCTCCCACAGGTCCCACCATCTACAAATGTTCCTCTCAAATTCCTAGCCTCATCTTTATATTGTTACTGTTTCATATTTATACATAATATGAAAATACAAATTAGGGACCCATCCCTGAAAGAAGACTGATTCTCCTGCTCTCAGCACCCTTAGTTAACAATAGTTCTTGGTCTAAGGGTGAGGCCGAGAGAGATTTTTTCCCTTTCATGTGTGCATATCTATTGTTCAGGTCTTGTTTAGGCAGCTATATTATTGAGGTTTCATGGGTGAAGTTTCCCTGACATTTCTAGGAGACACAGTCTTCCTACAGATTTCCTGTTTATCTAGCTCTTACACTGTTTCTGTCCCCTATTCTACAATATTCCCTGAGCATTAAAAGTAGGAATTGTGTTGTGCATGTATCCATGGGAGCTAAACATCCCATGACCTGTGTTCTCTGCATTTTGGCCATTTGTGGCTTTTTGTTTTCTATTACAAATAGGAGCTTCTTTGTTACGGGTTAAGAGCCATGCTTATTAGTGAGTATAGAGTAGAAGTTAGGCATTATGGTGAATGAGAGGAGGGCTATGACTGATTCCTCTCTGACATCAATGCCCTCACTAACACTTTGAGTCACTAGCAAGGTCTTCAGTACCAGCTATGATTTTCCTCCTCTTGAGTGAGCCTTAAACACAATTAGACAAGTGTTGGTTGCTGCCAAGATTTGATTGTCACCATCACACCTTAGGGACCAACCTTGCTGGTCATTGCTGTGGTTCATAAGCTTCACAGCTAGGTGGTACTACCTGATGTTTCCCACTTTGTCCAGCTTGCACAGCCTCTTTGGTGAGTAGGAAAGTTACTTCTTTTCTGAAGATGTTTCCAGGTTCAATCAGCTAAGATCCTCTAAGTTCTCTGTCTGCAGTGCATCTATGATCCATCTTTTACTTAAAAAAAACTGTTCTTTTGAAAAGAATATTTCCTTTTCATTAAAAAAAATAAGAATTTCACACAAAGTATTGTGATCATATTCACATTTAACCCTCCTCTAACTCCTACCAAATCAATACTGCACTTTGTTACCATACTAACTTTGTGTCTATTTTTTAATAGCCTACTGGCTTCAGGTTATATTGTCCATATGCTCCTGGGTTAGAGCCTATTAGAAGCAATTCCCTTAGAGATAACTGACTCTGTCTCCTCAAGAAACCATTAACTGTCCATAGCTTCTCAGTTAGCAGAGCAGGGACTCATGAGTCCCTTTCCATTCTGTGTTGGAATATTGACTGGCTTGGTCTTGTTTGGGTCGTGTACAGAAAACTCCATTGCTGAGCTTGTGAATTCAGAGATCCTGTCATGTCCAAATGCTTTTTTTTCTCTAATCTTCCCTGATTGGTGACTTTATGATCTTTCTGCTTTTTTCTCCTTGACAAGTTACAAATTTCCGCTTTAAAAAAAAATTTTAAAAAAAATAGTTTCTGCTTTAACCACCTTTCATTGAAAAAGGAAACTCTCTAAAGAGATATGAGAGTTGTATTAATATGGGTAGAGTGATGCAAATTGAGAGGGTGGTTTTATTCTATGTCCATTTGTAGAATAATAGACAGTGAGCTCCCCATCCTGAACACACTTAGAATACCAGGTGGCTTTAAATCCAAGCAGAAGTAATTAGCAGCCTTTACAATATTCAGGTCATTACTCAGTTAGAGCCTACCAGGAGCTATACCCTTAGAGATAACTGACTCACTCTCCTCAAGAAACTATTAACTGTCCATAGCTCTTCAGTTGGCAGAGCAGGGACTCATGAGTCCCTTTCCATTCTGTGCCTGTGGGCATTATTTATTCATCAGTTGATGGACATCTTAGCTGTGTCCATGTTCCAATTATTAGGGCTGGAGCATGTGTGAATATGAATGGGCACATTATCAGTGTGGTCATATAGAACATCTATTTCTCGTTTTCTGAGGAACAGTCACATTGGTCTCCACATCAGCTGCACCAATTGTTCTTCCACAAATAGTGCATGAAGGTTCCCCTCTGCCCACATCCATTGGCTTTTATTTTCATAATATTAGCCATTCTGCATAGATTAAGGTTAAAAATCTCAAAGTAGCTTTAATTTTCACTACTCTGATGGTTAAGGATGACCGTTTTTAAAATATTTCTTAGTTGTTTGCATTTCTTCTGAGTACCCTCTATTCAAGTCCATTGCTCATTTTTGAATTTGGTTGTTTAGGCTTTTATAATGCCATGCACATTCTAAATATTAATCCTCTGTCAGATCTGTAGATAGTAAAGATTTTTTCCAATCTATAGTCTGCCTCTTCAGTCGGTTAGCAGTTTTCCTTTGTAGTATAAAAACTTTGTAATTTCATGAGTCCCACTTACTGAGTTTTTATCTTATTTCCTGAGCAATTAGAGTCCTATTCAGAAAGTTCTTATCTGAGCCTATTGTCTACAGCGTACTCAGTGTACTTGGGAATCTTTCCTGTGGAAGCTTTAGAGTTACAGATCTAACATTAAGATCTTTAGTCCATTTGGAATTTATTTACATACAAAGAGAAGAATCAAGTGTCATTCCTCTACATGTTAATATTCAATTTCCCAACACTAATTTTTTCAGATGCTATCTATTCTTAAGTGAATGTTTTCGGAATCATAATAAAAAATTGGGTTGCTACAGGTACATGGAATTTTATGTGGGTCCTTGATCCTGCTGCATTGGCTAATATGTCCGTATTTGTACTAATACCAGTCTGGTTTTGCTGTTTGGCCTCCATAGTACAACTTGAAATTGTGTCTGATTACACTTCAAGTGATGTCATGTTGTCAGAGTTATTTGAGATGAATTACAAGCCACCAAACGGTGCTAAGTGAGGATGAAATGCTCTAAAATATCTGAAGAATCAGAATGGCTACTCAACATTAGCTGTGAGTCAGAGAGAAGTGAGTTTAGGATAGTGCCTTGATGGCCTACTAGATGAACAAGGTTAGGGGAAAAGGATTTTTCAGGGGAATGGAACAACTTGAAAGAAATATCTGAGAATAAATTAATCTGAACCCTTTTTTGGACATATAAAAGGAAATATGGAGAACAGATCTATGATAATCAGAAGATATTTACAAGTTGTAAGACAGCCAGGACTATTTATAAAGACAATATATCAAAAAATACTAAAAATTAAAAAATGAAATTTATATATGGTCTTTGTTTTCCATCTACTGAAAAATAGATTCTAAAAGAATTCCCAACAAAATAAAAATATCTTTAGTATGCCAATAAATGACTGGGGTCTAGAAGCTCTTAGAGAGCTTCATGGTTAGAGGCTATCACCAGAAAGATTAAATTTGAATTACAGAGTTAGGACTTGGAGCCCTATACTACCACAATCATAACCACTTAACCTCTTTTGAAGAAAGAATGGCTGGAGATTGTGTTTATTACCAATGATCAAGGATTAACCCTCATGACTATGTAACAAAATTTTAATATAAATCCAGTTTGAGGAGCTTCTGTATGGGGATAACATCTAGGACCTGGGAGCACAGAAATCTTTGCGATGGCATGAAGTTCTATATTCCTTCCTCCATAAAGAGTCCTATGAATCCCTTCAATTTGTCTATCTCTGTATTGAAGTCATTATATTAAACCAGTATAGTAAACAAGGTGCCTTCTTCAGTTTTGTGAACCATTTTAGCAAATCACTGAACCTGATAAGTAAATTATGGAAACATCCAGAATTTGTAGCTAGTTGATTAGAAGTGCAGGCAATTACAAAAACTTGCTACCAGTGTTTGAAGTGTGTTTGTTGACTTAGTTAACTATGTTAAATTGACACAGCCTAGAGTCACCCTAGAGGCCAACACACTATGAGCAGCACCAACCTCTCTCCAGGTGAGATAGGTTAGGGCAGGTCTCAGGAGTTAGCAAAGAGCTTCATGTTTTCTGCTTCAGTTTTTGTCCTGATTTTACTTTCTTTCCCTAAACAGGTTTTAGCTACTGTATTTGTCACAAATAGAATAAAGTTAAAACATTTATCTCATGGAAGAATAAGTTAAAGATCAATTATTTCTTACTTTTTTAAAAAAGGTACTCACCTTGATACAGTTCTATAAACAGAGTGTGGTTTCCAGTTGAATGAGAGACAAAGCAGGACACAGTGGACATGTCCTTTTGCTCCCAGTAGCATGTACTCCTGACAGTCAAGGTGCCGTTGCTATGTGATTCATTCTTAGTGACACAATCCCCATCTGGAGTCCAAGAGATCTGTGCAGCAGGCTTGCCTCCAATTGCCTCACAAACTGCAGTTCTATTTCTCCCTGGAAAGAGGGTTACTTCAGGGGCCACTGGAGAGATGGAAAAGAAATAAAGATTCAGTCTTGTCACAAGTTACAAGGACATTTTTTCTAACTAAAATTGATGACCTGAAATAGCACAATATGTGACATTGTCACTTACCCAGCACTTGGAGGTCATAGACTGTTAGGAAATTCCCTTCAGGGGCTACTGTCTCACATGAGTAATGTCCCTCATGCTGGAGGGCCACTGCACTGATCTGAAGGTCAGGACTGTGGTCAGGTGTGGAGGCCCAGGTGATGCTCCTGTTCCTACAGGTGGTTTCGTTGGTCTCCCTTGTGTCTACTTTGTAAACAATCATGCAGGAAGACTGTCCTCTGGGGGTTGTCATCCATGTTATTAATACTGCTTTTGTCAGTGGAATAAAAGGGCAGCAGAGCAGAGCCTTTGTACCAATCTGTACAGACACTGTAGTGGTAACTGGATACTCAGCGAAAGAGAGAGAATGGAAAGAGCAAACCTTGTGAGTTAAGTCTAACCACAGTAACTTATATGAAGTTACACTAGAGCAATGCTTGATTAATGGAAGTATTACAGCAATAGTAGATTTTTCTCACATTTCGTTGTTTCTGTATGTTCAATCTATCAGAATTAAATACATTATTCATCTTCTAAAGTAAAGGTTCAGGCATGTGGACTATGAACATCTTACACCATAAATCCTTACATTGCTTGTACACTTACTAAAAGAGTTCATGGTGGATACAAGTTTGCTGAGTGGTAATTACTCAACAAAATTATCTGTCACAATCACTTGTGACAAAAGTCAATAGTGTCATCGTTTTAATAGGAACAGACATTGTTGCTAATAAGACTTGCTTATAATAAACATTGAATTAACATCTCCACTGTCCTGTATCAATGTCACTTGCCTCTTTAGAGTACTCAAGTCCTCACAAGTCAATTTCAAATAAACGTCACCTAATCAGATGAAGAAAGAAATTCTTCAACAAACACCTGGGAGGGTGCTAATACCACAGTCTTCACATCACTCACTCTAAGATGGAAAAGGTTTAGAAGCAAGTGCTCACGTTCTCTCACACCATAGCACTACATCACCAGACTCTGCTACTCAACCTAAATCTGTTTATCAGCCAAGGCATTAGTTACTGTTTCTGAGCTAGGTCACCTCTCCATTCCCACAAGATAAGTAAGAATATTACCTTGTGTCATAGGTGATGAACTGTTCTGTGTTGGTTGATTCAAATCAGTACAACTTGACTCTGGAAAATATTTAAATAAACATGCTTAAATATTTAAATGATTATAAGCATACATTCAAAGTTTTATCATCACTGATATGTCAACATGTTGAAAATTGCATTTATAAGATATTAATCAGTTGTTTACCATTCATGAGTAACTTTATTTTGCCAAATAGCTTACAGTAGCCCTGAATTCCTTCTTTCAGCAACTTGCCAGGTTCAATGTAGTCATACCACATAAGCTTACTAGATTAAGCTCCTTTCTCCAGAACTCATAGAAACAAAATCATAAAGAGTTCATCCTCTCGCTTCCTTCCAGAATTCTACCTTGTAACTGAACAGCAGAAATGAAGCAGAGCGGGGTAGGAGAAGGATGAGAGCCCTTTCCTCTTTCTATATCTTCCTTGAGTTCTATAGAATTGTTCACAATTATAATGGTCCAAAACCAGGATTGGTTGCACAGAGGGGAAGACGGGAGAATCATGATGTCAGAGTAGCTGGCCATATTGTGAATTTGAGGCCAGCCTGGACTACATACACTGCTTTATAAGGAAAAAATCGTCATAATCAGCTTCTGAAATACTGATTTATGATAGTTCCATGATTTCCATGCAATAATTAAAGACACAGGAAAGAAAAAGTAGACTTATTTGTTATCCTAAGGTGCCTACACTACTATAAAGTGCTAGTGTGGTTTTTAATAGTAAAAATTGACTAATTATAGATGTACATTTCAAACAAAAGCAGAGAATGCCTATGCTAAATATCATAGGAGATGGGAAAGTACAGGAAATCTGCAATTAAGAACACAAAACACTAAAACAACAACAAAAATTGGTCATCAGCTGAAAAGAGGGTGGAATAAGAAGATGTGCTATTAAGCAGAATAAGCCAGGAACAACAAGGTGAGTGGCCCATGGTATTGCATGTAAAAGCAAAATGAATCCAATACCTGAAAGCAGAAAGTGGAAGCAGTGGACTGGGAAGGGTGTGGGCAAGGGGAGGGGCTGATGATGGAAGAAGACATTACTTCTTTATTTCCTTTCTTCAGAATAGAGGGTGAATTATAAACCACAAAGCTACAGCCACTTGATTTAAATTGAAAATAAACTCCTTCATAAAATAGATTAAAATTGTAGTTCCCCTTCCCTAACTCCTCCTAGATCCTCCAAACCTACACAAATCCACACCCTTTCTTACTCTCATGAGAACACAAACTACAGACATCTAAAAAATAATAATGAAATAAGGTAAACTAAAAACAAACTGGATAAAAGGAGAAAAAAACCCCACGAGGAACACATGTAGACACAGAGACTCAAATTTTCATGCACAGAAATCCCATCAAAACACCAAACCAGAAAGCATAATGTATAAATAAAATACCTATAAGGGACAAAAATGCCCAAAGCATTATGACACAAAATGCCTTCAAAATACCATTGATTCCATGTTGTATTGACCATCTGTTGCTGGACATGGTGCCTGCCCTTAAGTGTAGTTCTATACTCAGTGAGACTCTTTTCATTTGTGAGCAGTTATCACTTGGTGATAGCTTCTGGGTTAGGGTTGAGCCTCTGTCCAGCTCCCCTCTCACCATTCAGACTCCATCTGGCTTAAACCCATGCCTAGAAGGCCTTATTTACCTTGGAATCTTCCATGCCCACTAGCTCTTGCTATTTTTCTGTCCTCTCTTCAGCAGACATCCCTGAGCCTTGGAAAAAGGGATTTGATGGAGACATCCCATTTAGGAGTGTTACCTTTTCCCTGTGATAGCATACAGAATACCTTCCAGTAACATGAACAATAGTCAATAGATATGAAGGTTCTATGTAGGCAGCAGCCTGATTTCCCCATGTTCCACGAGTTACATAGGTTTTGTCTTTAGCAATAGAGACTGACCACCATGTTGTGGCGATGAATCAACAGCATTGCCAATACAGCCACCTGATTTTTAAAAAAGATGCTAAAATATATGCATTGGAGGAAGGTGACCTTGACAACAAATCATGCTCTGAAAATTGGATATCCCTATGTAGATGAATGTGAACAGATTCCTATCTTTCATTGATATAGGAATGTATGAATGACCAAGTGGACCGAAGACATTAACATGAGACTTCAACCTCCTGGTGTTGTTAGAGGTAAAAGTGGAAGAAACATTCAAGATATAGCCATAAACAAGAGTTTAGTAACTTCGGAAACATTCATTCAAGGTATATCAATAGACAAATGTGGTAGTCACTTAGGAAATAAGGCCAACAATTGACAAGAGATTTCACTGAGTCAAGAAGCTTCTGTACAGGAAATGAAACAACTGAGTTAAAAGACAGCCTACAGAATGGGAGAGAAGTCTTTACTAACTATATATCTGAAAGCAGACAAATACACAGAATATACAAACAATTCAATAAAGTAACAAAAAATCAAATAGCCCAATTAACAAATATGTTAATAAAATGAGTAGACAGTTCTCAAAAATGAATAGAAATGAACAATAAACACATAAAATGTTCAGAATAGCCATCAGAGAAATGTAAATTAAAAATAAAATGAGATTAAATGGAACATTACTCAGAAAACAACCAGATGCTGAATGTAGGGGAGGTAGGGAGAAATAATGTAATAGTATTTTAATCAAATAAAAAAATTTAATTAAACAAAAATAAAAGTATAACAATCACAATTCATGTAAACAGTTATATAGAAACGGATGTCCTCACACACTGCTGAGCAGAATATAAATTAGCCGGTCCCTCACCCCATGCAACAGGCAAAGAGATACCTTCTGGTGGTGTTATTCCTGTATCAGTCAGGGGCAGAGTTGATGGCAGTCCTTTGTTCATCCTAGGTTGATGTCTGGCTTGGTGACTAATGCTGTCTCATGCTTAGCACTCATAAAAATCAAATCAAAACAAATCCAAGCATCGCAGCACAGGAGAAGGATGGCAGACAGAGTTGTGTGGACCACCATGCCACCTACAGACCTGCCTTCCAGCACACAGCACAGGCAGACCATAGTCACCCTCCTGCTTGCTACCATACCAGGCAGCATGTATGGAGAATGTCACCCAGGGCCCTGCCAGCCTGCAGTGGGAGCCATCACAATGTGCAAGTATCACAATGTGGTGGTCAGATGAAAGAGAAAGAGGAGAGGGGCAACTTGAGCATCATGAAGAAGATGGAGCTGAAAACTTGAGGGTTATAAAATTAACTCAAAGGAATTCCTTCATACAAATGATAAAAGGGCCAAGAAAGAAATTAGGAAAACAGAACACTTTACAATAGCCAAGAATAATATAAAATGTCTTGGCATAACTCTAACCAAGCAACTGAAAGATCTGTATGATGAGAACTTCAAGTACCTGAAGAAAGAAACTGAAGAAGATATCAGAAGATGAAAAGATTTCCCATGCTCATGGATAGGTAAGATTAACAAAGTGAAAACGACCATCTAACCAAAAGCAATCTACAGATTCCTTACAATCCTTATCCAAATTCCAACGCAATTTATATAGACTTTGAAAGAGCAATTCTCAACTTCATGTGTCATTCTTTTGACCCTGCTCCCACAGGTTATTACTAGTAGTAATGTAAGATACCACACAACTACACCAAAAATTATTGAGACAAAATATTATCTGCATAGAACCAGGGAGAGTTGAAGGAAGGAGATAAGAGGAAAGAGGCAGAAAGAAGCTAGAGTCTCATTAATAACAGAAAAACAAAAATATTACTAGGAATTTCAAAAATTGTATAATATTAGTTTCCATGATTAAACATATACCTAGTAATGAAGCTTCAAACTAAATGAAGCAAAATTTAACTAAATTAAAGAGACATGTTGACTGTTTCACAATCATTGATGGGTGTTTCGACACAGCTTCCTCGGAAATGAATAGAGCAATCAGAACCTTTAAAATCAGTATAGACAGAATATATTAATAACAGTATTAATTGTAATGACCAAACAGGCATTTATGAAAACAGTCCCAAAGTAAATAATATTTATTCTTTCAAGTATCCTATGTACATTTATCAAAGTTTGTTATATGCTGGATCATAAAATAAATCTCTACATTTAAGAAAGTTAGGAGGCCAGTAAGATTGCTCAGCAGGAAATGCAGCCAAGGCATATGTAGCCAAGCCTGAGGATCTGATCCTGAACCCTGGGAGCATTATAGAGAGAGATAACAACTGCTACTGTTGTCTTCTGATCCCCACACAAATGCTGTGTCAGGGGTGCATCACACACACACACACACACACACACACACATAAAACATAGATATGTAGTTTCTAAAACAAAGGAGAGGGAGGAGGTTAAATTAATTTCATGTAAAGATCTCACGTGCTTTCTTAATTGTTGAAAAAGGCTTCTTAATGGTATACTTGAAATCAGACATACTTTATACATCTAGAAGTAGAAGATATGGCATTTTTCTATTTGAAGAAAAGTCAGTTTGCTTTTACATTGATCAGACTGCTTACGAACTGTGCTCTGGAGAGACAGGGCTAAGGCAGAGAGCTCTAGCATTGTAGCTGGTGAGCTCAGCTGTCCTGTCCTCATAAAGGTTATTTTAGACTCTGCTTCCCCCTCCTACTAGTAACTTCCATCACTTTTACTTCAAATGCTTTAAGAAAGATTCCATAACCTGCGGCACCAATGCACAAACTGGCCTGCATCCAGATCAAGTCATCCCCCTTTCCCTTATAGTGGAGGAGGACTGCCCCCTCCTAGCTAAGCCCAGTGCCTCCACTTTACTCTGGATGCTTCCCATCTCAAATCCCCTACCACCCTCCCCTTTTCTCTCTCAATACAAGTCAACTGTAAAGATGAAGCAAGCAAGAAATCTAGTAAAGCATTTGTTTTTGAGGCAGTCACACATCTTGAAATGCATGACAATGACTAATGGAATAATTGCTTTGGTATTTGTAGAAAATTTTTGTTGAAAACCTGTTTATCAAGAATAATCAACTTAAGAGTAAATGGTAGAGTGTTAAATTGGTCCTATTAGCCTGCAACAAAAGCCTCTGCCTGTAATTCAAGGAATCAGCAGAGGCTGAGGCGGGAGGATTATCATAGCTAAAGTTAACCTCAAAGACAATTTCATTTCCTAAAATTTCAGAATGTCAGACTTACCAGACATCAACACATTAGTAAAGATCAGCAAGGTCAAAGCAGAAGTCCTCCAAAAAGCATGCATCTGGAATGGAATCTAGCTAAACACAGATCATAACCTCCTGGGTGGACTCTGACGACCGATTGGTCAGTGTGTTTACACTGGTTTCCGATTTAAGAGTGACTTTTCTTTCTCTTTTCTTTTATCGTTATCTTCATCTCCAGTCTGCTGCAAGTTGGATGGCTAAGCCTGCACAGGAGAAAATGGCACTGATGTTTGCTGAAAGATAAAGAAAGAAGCCAAAGCATAACTCATTCAATCTCTCACAATATTAAAACAATTAACACACAGTTTATGGCAATTCCCTTTTAAAGCAGTAGTTTTTAAATGGTAAATCATATACTGGAAAATGAGTAGACCTATGTGTATAGCTGATGAATATGTATATCTACATGAACCTGGACAAGCTTTCCAAAATTTCTAAACTAAGGTAGTGGTTTTGTGACTCAAAACTCCCAACATGCCTTTCCTTGGTATTGCTTCTCAAGAAGCAAACACAGCTCTATCACCTATGGCTTTGTTCATTTTATTAGTTAATGAGCCTCATGTAAATGAAATGCTTTCCTGAGTTCATCCCTGTATGCTAGCTTGGACTTACCAAAGAATATATGGTAATTTATTCATCAGTTTCTCTGTGAATTTAAATTGCTCTACTTGGTTACTAACATATATGAAGCTTCTATGATAATTATTGATTTGCACATACCTTTTGGTGTCTGTTTGCACCCATTTTCTTGGCTACATACCTACAAATGAAAGGATAGTACGAGGCTTTAAATAAATACTTCCTGTAGAGAGTTAACTTGCTTGCCTGACATCTCCTTTTTATTTTAAAACATTGTTCCAATACCAAAGAATGTGGCCTTTTTAAAAAAATAAAGTCATTTCCTCTGCAATTAGTTAAAATGAAACTATACAGTGTTGGGCCCTAGTGCAGTGTAGCTGGTACCCATAAAAAA